CACAAAGGATCACTCCACAGGCAGAATGGAAGCTGCACATTTAAGCCTTTGGTGCGCAGAAGCATTTCAGGGGTAGAGGCTCTGAGGGGCACAGGCCAAGAGACCAGGCCTCACCAGCGTCCCCGTCTGACGGAGCTGGGGCACAAAGGCAAGAGCTGGGATGAAGGACCGGGCAGTGCCATGGCTGAGCCCACGCTGGGGGACGGTCCTCGCCGTCCTCGCAGGCCTCTTCAGGATGTGCCCTGCCAACGAGGAGTCTGTCATCTGTCACGTGAGATCCCTGAGAAGATGAACTGACTGAAGAAACTTCTCCAGCCCCAAGGAGAAGTTCGGGCGACAAAAAGCCAGGTCAGGCCAGACGTTTAAGGCCACTGTACCTGTTTGGACTTTACTCTCAGGACACCAGAAAGCGCCTGAAGAGTCTCATCCCTCTTCTGCCTTCCCATGTGTCTGTCAGGAGGGAAACCTAAGAAACTTCCTTCCCATTTTTTGTTGTGTTTGTAGAAGAATCATGTAATTTCCTTTTATCTATCTCTCAACTCTTGGTCTTACAATTTACAAATGAAAAGGATTAATACACATATCTTACCATTTTTTAAGGGTCAAGAGTTTACACTAAAATCAAATAAATTATTTTAAAGTTCCCACATATAAAAAGAAAATCATTCCGTTCAGAGATTTTTTTCTAATTCTTAAATCTGCTGCACTAAATTTTTGAGTGAGCTTTTTCTGAGAATATCTTCATTTGGAGTACTTTTTTTTTAACGGAGCTGCGTATCTTAGAAAAGGTTTTCCCCTGAGAATGTTTCAAATATATCTTCATTTCCCACAGAACATGTATTGACTGTCCAAAAATTACATTCAAACCTCAAAAACAAACTCAGAATGCATTTTCCTAAATCATTCTAACAAAGACATCAATGATGTCAAAACCCTGAGTTTTGAAACGGAACTTCTGTTCTCCTTCTCGCCTCATTATTAAAAGACTTTTTTTCACGTTTGTTCATAACAGGATTGCCATTTTCCATGCTGCCTACCGATTATAAACAGAATCAATTTTAAAACCAAACTAGGGCTCTCTCTGAAATATTCAAGATGTATTACCATCTGGTTTTATATCAGCTTTTGAACAGATCCAAAATCACTATATTACCAAGTATTATCAAAAAATAGTTCATATCCCTTTCGAAACACTTTCAATGCACAAACTTTGAAAGTCCAACTTAATTTTTCAAATTATACCAGACATGTCAGTATCAATCATAATAATATACATCATTTTTCACTAATAACTAATAATAACATTTTTCACTAATAACATCATTTTCATTAATAATGTACATCATTTTCATAACTCGGTAATTCTGACCTAAGCTACTTTTATCATTAGGTCTTTTAGTGACTACTAACTCGAGAAAACACAGCATACCGATTACCTGGGTAAAGGGTAACAGTCTTTACTTACAATGTACATGTTATGTAAAAATATGAATCTTTCTAGTTGACTGAGAATAAAATGTGTCCCCAAACCTATAAATCCATCCCCCTCATTTCCAAACACCAAAGAGACAACAGCATTTCTTCAGAAGATGCTCAGCTAAGAATCGGCATCTACGATTACACAGAAAACAGTCGCTGAGTAGGTGAAATTCTGACTAGCCACAGCAGATGCAGCTCCAGGACACAGCCCTTAGCAAGAGAACAGCCACAGGACGGCCAATTGTTTCAAAAAAACTATAACTGTTTATAAAATAAACAAGACCTAAGCCTGATATCTAAACCTTTAAGTGAAATTTATCATTTTCCAAGAAATGTTTTCCTCCATCTAACTAAAAATAACAAAATGTTTTTTAAAATTTCTTCCAGTTCATGTATTTAAAAGTCTTCAGTACTGACTCCATGCAAAGATGGATACTCTTCCTGCCCCCAATTTTTTTGTCATCCCACAGTGGCAAGAAGACATGACCATAAATACGGTCTATTTCTCTTCATCGTGACCAACACCCCTGCCAGCACACACACGCACCACGTAAGCACGTGCTCCAAGCCTACTCTGCCACACCAAAGCATTGCATACAGAGATTCTGTCAGGCAGGTAGTGAGGGATTCCAGGTCTCCCGGGGACAACAGTGGATGCTGTTGCCCCATCTTGGTTCTGCCCCACCCTAATTCTCCATAGTTGGGAGGAAGAAAACTAGGCATGCCAGCTGTGAAAGAATGCAGAGGACTCTCTAGCCCACAGGCCAAGCAACATAGGTACCATAGAGTCCAGAAATTGAACTAGAACAACCTGCATGGGTAGTTAAGGCTCAGGTCATGTGACTCCCACCTGCCCAATCAAAGTAGTTCCATGGTGCTGTCTGAGCCACAGGGAGGTCCCTATCCAGGCACTATAAAACAAGACAGCAGACCATAACCAAGTCTCTTTTTTTTAGCACCCTTCCTTTGGCACTTCTTCTGCTGTGACAATGGGTTCAGTCATCATCTGTGTAGTATGTATCATGCTCTATAAACCTATATCTTGCTCTTGCCCTATAATCCTATCTTTCTATCCTCAGTAAACCTCATTTTTGTACTTGCCTTACTTTGGCATGTCTGGTCATTCTTTGACCATGAGCAGGCCAAGAACCAACATTTTCAGAATAACACCTGACAATTCTATAGCAATGCTCTTAAAAATACTATTAATAATTGGTTCAACCTGTCCATTTCAATGAACAGGACAGAGGTTCACTAAGCCAGAGTATTTATTCCATTTCATCCATCTCTGTCAACCACTTCCTTGGAAAATAAGACAGGGGCTCCTTGTGACATATTTTTAAAAAACATGTTTATTGCCATTCTGAAATGTTCCATTTTTATTTAGACACTAATTTAAATGTAACTTCAAAAGTAAGTTTTTATTGGTTAGTCTCTATTTTCTTTCCATTCAAAACTAGGAAAAGGATTGCACTAAAGTCTTTTGACATGTAAATGATGTTTTGAAAAAGATTTTAAATATTTTAAATATTTCATATTATAAATACATTTAGGAAACTAAAACGTAAAGCCAACATCCCTAACACAATGAGACACCACCCCACAGGTTTAAAATATGAAACACATACACACACACACACATACACACACAGTCAAGCTAATCTATAGTTAAAATGGGGGAAAATATAATTCATCTTCTAAATTTTGGGGTTTGACTAAACTAGAACAGTTGAAAGTAACTTGAGAACAAATTGAATGTACTATGGATAAGACATGTCATGACATTACATGCTGATGCCAACATTTTATGGGCAAGAAGATAGAGGACTTAAATACCTGCTGCAGTAAAGATGTAAAATCATTTTAAAAAGAAAAAGAAAGGGAAATCCTTTTCACAAAGCAACATGCTAATTCTTTATGCATTATGCAAGAGTCTTTCCCTATTAAAGGAAATGGAACAACATTTTTAGGATAACCTAACTGATCAGGTATAACACGCGAAACCAACATTTCATCCTAATTTTTCCCTATTATATGAGATTTAAGTACATCAAGCATAATATTATTCTCCCAGAGGAAAGATTTGCTGAATATTTCTTCACATTCAGGTCCTCATTCAAACACCCACATTATAAAGTCATAACAGCTTTATTAGGCACACGGACATGTCTGAGTAACTATTATTCTGTTTGTAAATCACCTCCCTTCATTCCTTTCCTCTTTCTTTACATATGTAAATTACTATGTCTGATCCAGAGCCCTCCACCAACCACCACAACCAAATTATCCTCTAGGGACCTCAATCTGGCTTGTTATTCTTGTTTCAGCATTAAAAAAAAAAAATTAAAAAAGAGGGGGGAGGGGTGGGAGTCAGTATTTTCAGGAATCACAATTCCTCTTGCTTCGATTTTTGGCTCACTAGTGGTAAAATGTTTATACCCTGGAATGCATTATCCTCTGCTTCTAAATGTTTGGCTTTTTTAGAGCCAAGACATGGTACAGTGTTTCCAATGTCAATTGCTTCAAGTAATATATGCCTACTTTTGCAGGGAGCATTTGGTCAAATTTTAATATTCCCTCTTGGGAGCCAACCCCAACTTCTAGCAGCAGAGCTAACCTTGCAGAATAGAATTTTAAACAACACACACACAGCCATATATTCTAGAGAACATGGTCTTTTCTTCTACTCTCGGGGTTGTCACAGGAGACACCTTTGTATGATGCTTATCACTTAGAATACAGATCTTTCTGTGGCGTAATAAATTCATCACAAAATACACAAAAGACATTCCTCTTTTCCCTAGCATCAAAAATAGACCACGGTTGCCACCAAGGTTGAGCTATAGCTGTCACTGCTTAGGCTTGTGAATCATTTGCACAATTCATAAGAATAAATAGCACATGTAAATTTCCATAGGCTGCAAATGTTAGTTGAGGAAAACACATGCCACAAGGCTCCCTAACTCCCAAACAGGATTATTTGGCAGAAATTGTTTCATTTCCTTAGTCTTTCTAGATTGTTATAAATATTTTTGTTTCTGTGGCCGCTGGAAACTTGAGAGAAGACCCTATCGTTTTTCTTTCATGAAAATGTGCATGCAATTTTATTGCAAGATATAATGGGAGAAAAGAAAAGGGCTCACTACAATATTGCATCCATCTTGTTGCATTAGGCTCAAAATACGAATGTCAAGGATATATATTTGTCACATGTCAGCCCAAGCTGAAAGCATCCACTAAGAGAATATTGTCACTATTCGGCTGGCAGTCAGAATCTACTTCCACAAACCCGCATACTGATGAGAGCCCAGGCTCTCCATTGCTTCTTCTTAATACCTCTTCCCTCTGCAGAGGAGAGAAGCCATTTTACTAATTTATAAGGACCCTGGCTATCCAACCATCTAAAAAAATTTTTACTCATCAATAATAGTCAACTAAAAGCAAAAGCACATCCCGCAGGAGTAAGAGAATAAAACAGGCAACACCAGCATGTATCAATCTGCAAGACTCCGGATACTCACTAAAGGCAGCCACCGCAAGGGCCAGGGTGACAATAATGGAGAACCAGGACACCCACAAAGCCTTCTTTCTGTAGTTCTGGGCTTCGTGGGGCTTCAGTCGGGTGCTGCTTTCTAGTAAGCCTGACAAAAAACAAGGAGAAAAGGAAGTTAGGCATTTCCTTACTCAGAAACCCGCAGCCAGAGCTACAATTTCTTACCCAAAGACTGCAAACTGGCAGCCCATGAGACAAGATGTGTTTTGCCTGGCCCACATTGTGTTTTAACAATTAGGAGATTTCCCATGAAAATCAAGCTTTCAGGCATGCCTTGGAAAATCACAGGCTCTGGCAATATGGGGCATGGATTTCTGCAGGGTAGCAGCAGCTGTCCTCTTTAGGACTGCAGACCCCACCACTCCCTGACACATCACGCCAGGCCAGCCCTCGCCCCTGTGTTAAGGTGCTTGGCTCAGGTGGATGCTGCTCTTTCCAACTGGGCTTTTCTGTTAGGAAAACAGTGCAAATAGCCCACAGTTAGTTGAGCACTCGGGCTCCTCCACTGTGGGCATGGATTGGCATCGATCCACCAGCACAGTCCCAACTGGTGGACTGAGTTTTGCCCAAAGCAAGAAGTTATGGAATACCAATGCCCTCACTGTTCCCCCTGACAATTAGCAGGAGGAGAAGGGCTATTTCTCTTTAACCACAAGCAACAAGAGCCGCCAGTCCAAAATGACATGCCACGTTTCCTTCCCTTCTCTTTCTGCTCTGTAGTATATAACCCTTTGGACCAAACACATGTCAAAAAATTCTCAGAATATTAAAGTGGGTTAACCTTACTAAAACTGGAGGTAGCGTCCCAGGTAGAACTTGTATAAGATAGGTTTTATTTTTGTCTCCTATGCTTTCAACATTGTGAGTCCTCAACAAGAGCAGAAATTCATGACCCTTTCCAGGCAATGCCCAAACTTCAACTGCCTTGAATCAAAGACTCAAACATCTTCAATATGATATTGCTTTGTATTTTTGCTTCTCCTTTGAAAATAAAATCATATGTAGCATCTCTCAGTTGCACAGAGAACCAAATTTTCACGCATGCTTTCTATATAAACAGGAGCTTATTATACCATCTCTAGCAAAACAACCCACAATACACCTTTCGGAGGCTAAGCAGCCTCAGAAGAACTGTTCCAAATGATGAAGGAATTGGTCACAGAGGTAAAATATCACACAATGTGGAACATATCATATGTATGCATCACATAAAAGACATCTCATTTGTCTGACTAGGTGCCACACTAAGCCTCTAGTTGCCAAAAATTGCATCCTGTTCAAATATTATAATAAAACAAGGACCCTGCTAAAACTTCTCAGTTCCATTTATAACCCAGACTCGAGCATCCTTGAACAAGTCCTGAACAAAGCAAGAGGGAATGTCAAAAAGGCTGCTTAGTGAGCCCAGTTCACAGCCCAGATATTTTTAAATAATTGTAACCTATAAGCTTACGCAGGATCAAAAGGGAGATGAGAATGCAAACGTTGAGTACAAATGCCATCTCCATCATCTCACTGTAAAAATCTCCCCAAACCCTGCTTCATAAATGCACTTGGATGGGGAAAAAAGAAAGACACTCTGTCTTATCAAATTCTGCCCCAGATAGAAGTGATTTCAAATGAAAATTCAGCATGTCCCTTTGTCTACTTCTTTCCTAATTACCAAAAAACACCCCATTCTCATTTTCAACTGCTATCACCAGTTAAAGCCCTATCCTGAAATGAGCAGATTCCACACCCCCTTAATAATTTATGTCCCTTTTCCCAAATGATATAAAAATCTTCCTTTTATCCTGGCCAATTGATTTTCAGGCAAAGTGAAGCTATACCATTTACCGGCTCAAATAAGCAGTTCATTTGCTGGGTATTTTGACAGCAACAAATCTCCAGAGGTTTATACACTGGGGTAAAAACAAGGTTCCTTTTAGAAGTAGATTTAGTTTTCTAAGAGGAACAATAGTAATCGGGGTTTTCTAGTCTGCCACATGACAGTAGCTGGTTCACACATATGGACCAATTTACATGCCTCCCCCCCTCCCCCATTGAGACAGCACTGCCCCGCAGGAGTTCTGATGACAGCCCACCTGGGCTGGACTGCCCTGCTAAGGTGACACTCGGGTCTGCTCGGCAGTAGGACTTCTTCAAATCTGATCCTGTGTGTGCCTCACTCACGATATTTTTTAAATTAAAAAAAAAAAAACTGGAATAGGTACAATGGGAAGCCTTTCCCATTTCTATCCAATCTTTGCTTATTTCCTGATGATTTTCCTTTCTAAAAATACAGCCGATACCAAGAATGGAAAACTTTCTACTCCTCCAAGGGAAGTGGAGTGTGACGACCTACTGAAACCCAGCTCATAAGTGAACGCTCCACACACAGGTGCCTCTGCACCCATGCTGGATGCAGGCACACAACCACCAAGATGTAGTGAGAACGCCTGAAGTTTCTGGGAAGCTGTGGTTCAAAGGTAGAAGGAAGGCAGCCTGGAGAGGCAGCACAGCCTAGAGAAGCTAAGACAGGCAGCTTTGCAGGCAGCGCTGGAGCCTCCACATCCAAATTTTAACCTCATTCAAATTTCACATATTTGCAATTTGGGCCTGGAAATACTAAGCATCAGGCCATATTTAATGAAGGACTGATTCCTTATTTATTTTGGGGGGGGTGCAAATACATGTAGAGAGGTTGGAGCAATCAGTCATTTCTATTCTAGTATGAATTAGTTCCATTTGCTTTCTCCTAAGAGTTTGTCAAGCTTGAATTCTCTGAAGAAAGGGGAATTTTTATTAGATGTGACGGTAGTGGGAAGTGCTGAAACACATAACTCTCTAAGGCTAAGCTGGGCTCTAAGGTTTGGGACAAAATGATAGAAAAACACTTGTGAGGAGAACAGGGGATATGAAAAGGGGAAGATGACTAAGATAAACTTGGCCTATTTTTTTGTGTTGAGTCCCTGTAAGTCTTAAGCTACAGAGCTCCTGCTCCTTGAACTGCAGGCACTACAAATGGCACTGCAGTTACTGACATTCTGAGCTAGCTAAGCTTCTGCAAACCAGCCCACATAACTTCCAAGGGGAAAAAAATGCCTGCAAAGTCCCAAAACACTAGATTATAAAACAAACCTTTGATCAGAGTTAGCCTTGGTCTCTGACGGCATCCTGATAGCTCAGAAGGAAGTCAGGACAAAAGACAACACCGAATATAGGAGCAGATCCAGGGTACCCACCCACCCCCCACACCCTGCCGGTATTTAGGCCTAGAAGAAAGCGATCCAGGCAGGATGGAGAGATGCACAGTGGGCAACTGCTGAGGTTCCTCCCCCTCGAATCCTCTCACTGGTAGGAAAGAGGTGGCTGCACTCAAACAGTCCCCAGGAGATACAAAAATCAATATTGGAAAGATGCAGCCCCATAAGAAAAAGATAACGCAAATACCAAATATCACAATAAACCTCCCCAGGTAACCTTCTGATTTATTTAACAAAAATGACTCATTCACCATTAACTCTCTCTGCCATCAGGGACAGGTCAAACAAAAGAATGTCACACTGACTTTCAGCTCTCGATGCCACAGAGCACTGGGCTCTTTGGGGAAGAGGGTTTATCCTAACAGAGAGGCTGTGTGTGACACGCAAGGCTTTTACACAGCGACAGTTTACGAACAGTCAATGCTTTCATGCTATAATATAATAGAAAATGAAATTCTGTTGACCAGTTAAAAATAAACCTTAAGAATGAATTCAGAAGGGCTTTTTAACACTTAAACATGAACTACAAAATGATGCTAAATATTAACTCATCCTAGCATTTTTCCCCCCTCGTATCATTTGCGTGGGGTAGAGAAAAACAGGCTGGCTCTGAAAGATGACCTGCAATGCTACAGAAATAAGCTCGACCCAGGCTTCTGTCTTTCTTCAGTATGAAATGTTAAAATCCTACCATGCTAGTTGGGGGAGGCAAAGGTAATTCACACACCCTATGCAATAAAAGTGATAGGATTTGCTGGGTGCTTGCAATGTCGCCAACCATCGGGTCTGAGATGGCATCTAGTTATGTGAGAAGAGGGGGGGAAGCTGCAACATAGGTGCGGAATTCGTTGCAACTGGAGCCGCTCCAGTCCTCGCTGAGCATCTCGGCGTATTCTCCGGGAACTGCCGTTTCCATGTCATTCTATTTCATATGCTACAGTCTAGAATTTCCAAGGAGAAAGAGATCGTGCATCCGAACACTAAACCGGAATAAAAATGTACAGGAGATACTATGAATAGGACAGAAACCTGCTAAGTCTAAAATACATAAACCCGCCACAGCCAACGAACTAGGCTTCCAAGAACAGGGGGTGGCTGAGCAAAGAAAGAGCCGGCTTCCCCCAAGGGCCTGGCTGCAAGGATCCCGCTTTGGCCACTAATCCGTTTCAGCAGAACCACAGAATCTTTCCGAGGGGGACAATTTGCATTTGGATTCACCAATAAGTAGAAAAGGCGTAGACGCGGCCAGGAACCGGGCCGGCTCCTCAAGGAATCCAAGCCGAAGGAAAGAGGGAGGAAGGGAGGAGAGAAACGCGGGAATGAACAGGGGAGTCTCTCCCGTTCTGTGCGGGCAACTCTCAGGGGCGGCGGGAGTCGAGTTTGGCCTCCCGGGAGGGGCTCGTGTGCGGGGCGCCAGGCCGGTGGTCGGGGCTGGTTCTGAAGGGTGTAGAGGCGCCCGCCCCCGGGAGCCACCAGGTTTCAGTGGCATCTATCCAGGGAGGTTGGTGGCCCAAACCCAAACGTGGCGGTCACTATCACCAGCGGAGGTAGTGACCCACTGTGACCCGCGTCCCCGACGTCGGGGACTACCCGAGTGCAGCGGCGGCGGGTCCCGCTCACTCCCCTCTTTGCGCCCCTCGGCGGGGCGCGCAGCCCGGCAGCCGCGAGGGACACCCCGACGCTACACCCGCAGAGGGAAGTTCTCCCGGGGAGCCGGCGGGGGCGGAGGGGACTCGGAAAGGCGGACGCTTCGAGCCCGGATCCCTGCGAGCTGAACGGAGCCCGCAGTCCCCTGGGAGCGCCCGGCTCCGAAAGCAACAAAATGCGTCTGGCAAACTTTTCCAGTGGGCGCCGGAGGGGCTGGGCCGGCCGAGGGGGAGCGCGGGCCCGGGCGGGGCGACCGGGGCAGCGGGTCGCAGGGTCAGGGAGGGGCGGCCGCCGAGAGGCGTCCGCCGCAGGAGGTGGGGCTGCCGCCCAGCGCCGCCGCGCTCCGCCGGAAGTCCCGGCCGCGCCCGGCCGGCCGCGGGTGCAGAGGCGGCCGCAGCGGCGCGCCCGTCGCCCGCCCGGCCCGGCCGGCGCGGGGCGCGCTCACCTCGGTCCTCCAGCCCGTCGCTGAACTGGCCGCTCTCGCTGATCCGCACCTGCCGCTCCTCCTCGGGCTGCGGCGGCTCGCGCGCCGGAGCTCCGCGGCCGGGGCGGGCCGGGCCGGGGGCGGCCAAGGGCGCGTGCCCCGGGGCGGCGGGACGGCGGGCCCGGTTGTTGCGGCGCTCGCTGCCCGCGGCCGGCTCCATGGCGCGGGGCTGCGGATCGCGGCGGCGGCGGCGGCGAGCGCGGCGGGGACTCGAGCCCGAAGTGTGCGAGGCGCCGCGGCTCGGGCGGGCGGGCGGACGGGCGGACGGACCGCGTGGAGAGGGCGGGCGCCGGCGTGGAGGTGCACCGCCGGGGAGGAGGGGATGTCGGGGAGCGGCGCGGCTCCGCGGCCGGTGGCGGAGGCTGGTGCCGCGCTGTCGCCGCCGCGCTCCGCCCCTGGGGGCAGGTGCGGGCGGCAGGGACCCGCCCCGAGGCTCGGGCGCGGGAGCCCGCGCACCTAGGCGGGTGGTGAGGTTGGAACTCAGTCCCGCCAGCGGCGCGGAAGCTGCGGGCACTATTTAGGGGCGTGGGGACCCGCTGGCGGCTCTGGCAGGGCTGGGCTAGGGCGTGACCAGGGACCCGCCCCGCCCGCGCCGCAGGGTGGTGCCCAGAAGGGACCCCTCGGACCGGATTCCTCTGCCTGCCCTCCCCCAAACCGGCGGCCCTGCGTGGACGGGAGAGCGGACAGCGCCCTTAATTTGGCATCTTCCTCTTCTGGAGACGCACAGGCTTAGGACGCCGTGCAGGGTCTCCGCCGCCGCCGCCATCCTCACCGCCCATCCCAGCAAGACGAGCTTCACCGTCCCCAGCCCCGTTGGGCTGGGGCCTTGTTTTAGGGGCTTTAACTCTCCTGGTTTCTATCTCGAGCACCAATTTAGCCAAGGGATAGGATATCTTTAGCACCAGCGGATGCTCTAGAAGATGCTGGGACTTCAAGGCTGCCCCATTGCGACTATCCCTGGTCCTTTGTCCCATCTAGTTCCCTCATCAGCTCGTTATTTCCCCGCTGAGTGTCCAAGGCTCCCTCCTCCGAGAAGTCTCCCCTGGCTGTCCCAGCGCTATCCATGCCCCCCATAAAGCTGGTCTCACCGGCGAGGCGGGGACCTCGTCCGTCCGCACTGGCTCTCTTGCAGCCCAGGGAGACGCAGGGGAAAGCAGGTCGTTTAGCAGATTCAGCGTGAATTTGGTGGGACTTAGAAAAGTACACCCCAAAGGATGGTGCTTGGTACACTGAGTACTTTGAACTACAGAGGCCTCCGAAGCAGACTCAGAAGCAAAAGTCTCTGACCACCTCCTTTCTCTCACCCGCTTCTTTCCCCCAAGCTGTTCATAGAAACCAGATCCCCAAGTGTGGCCGTCCACAGGATCCAAACTTCACAGAACAAATCCCTTTATTAAATTTGGATTCAGTCAAAAGGCCACACTCAAGGATCCAGAAGGCCACATGCGGCCCCAATTCCGCAGGCTCCCCACCCCTTGCGGGGTAGAAATACCGCACAGAGAGGCCAAGAAGAATCTGGACAGACAGGCCTTCCTGTGTTTCCCCTCAGTCTATTGCCCTTAGATCCTACCCTTTTGACCAATCCCATTTCTACATGGCTGTCCATTCTTCATCAAACCTAAGTATAAAAACAGTTTTCCCTGAGTCTTTGGGTCTTCGTTTCTGAAGGCTTCCATGTCACGTAAAACTTTGATTAAATAAATTTTTTACACTTTACTCTTGTTAACCTATCTTCTGTTGTAGGAGAATTAGGCATAACTTATATGACAGAGAGGAAAGGGATCAAACCTGTCTGCCCTACAGTTTCAATGGTATCAACATCCAAGCTCTGGAGTGTAGGTTTCATCTTTAGATTGATAACAGTCTCTAAATGTAATAAGCACTCTAAAATGTCAATTCCTCATTTAAAGGAGTCCACCCTGTTTTTTGAAGAGTAACCCTTTTCCTTTCTCATCTCTACTTTGTTTGTGATTGAAATCAGAGTAGGATTTAAATGACTTCATGGACAGTGGAAATATCACCAGAAATGGGAAGACCATCTCATTTCATTTTGTTCTTGCTCTTGTTCTTAGACTTTTTCTTGTCACTGGATTGGAATTAGAAGATCTGAGTTGACCTTGGCCAACCCACTTGACCTTTCAGACCACTAATTCTTTCAACTACAAACTAAAAGAATTGAACTAGGTCATTACAAAGGTCCCTTCTTGCTGCAAAAGAAAAAGAAAAATGCTATGATTACTTGGATTCAAACAATAAAAATTTCTACCCACTAATCCCGGTTCTGTCCCCTAAGGGAGACCATCCTTCAGATGTATTTGCAACTTTTTCCCTCCTGGTGATCCCCCTGCCAATGGCTGTCAAAGAATTACCTGGGGAGTCAGAGAACAAAAATGCCAAGGCCACACTGCTAGAGATTCTATCATACCTGATATATCATAGGTGATGGGATTGGTCTGGGCTAGGACCTTGATGTGGATATTTTTTAGGGCCCCTCCCTATTCTAAGAGTCATCTGGGGCTTTTGTTGTTGTTGTTGTCATTATTTCTCCATGGATCACTGAGATTCTGATTTAAAAGATCTGGAATTTGGCTGGAAATCTTTCTTTAAACCCATCTGCATACACACACACACACACACACACACACACCAAGATCTGCCACAGACTCCCCGCAAAGGAGCCAGTATCATTGTTCTTTCTTCTGGTTCCTAGGTTTGTTCTGTAGTCCAGCATGTCTCAAACCTGAATGTGCAGAGGAACACGAGGGCTTCTTGTTAAAATGCAGATTCTAATTCAGTAGGTCTGAGATAGAGGCTGAAATTCTGCATTTCTAACAAACCCCCAGGTGCTGCTGATGATGCTGGTCTGAAGACCACACATTGAGAAGCAGGGATCTAAGAGTTATTTCTTATTCATGGGATAAATATATTTTTCTTCATGTTCCAGCTGCCTGGATTCAACAAGCTGCTATTGTCATCTCCAGAAGGATTTCTCTGACTCCAGCTCACCCCTGGGTACTCCTTTTTCAGAACCGTAAGCGATTAATAATTCACTGCTTCTTTCCTATGTGGGGCAGGGATGGTGGTTTCTCCCTGGTCCGCATTCCTCACTCACACAGCTACCTGGATATTAAGGACACAGTGTTTCCCCAAACAATCCCTGCTGATGAACTGGAAGATAATGTTCGCTTACATTCTTGAAGGGCATACCATGTGCCAGGAACCTGGCTAAGGGTTTTACATGCATTGCCTCGCTCAGTTAGCTGCTACTGCCCTCACTTTACAAAGAAACCAAGGCGGCTCTCCCGACTTAAGCTCTGTCCAGCACAACAATCCACAGCGGTACCGCCCCCTAGGGGGCGTTTTGGAAATTTGCAGGTGCTCTTCATTGGTTACCACAATGAATAGAAGGAGGGAGCCACTGGCATTTAGTGGGGGGTAGCCTTGAATATGGGAGATTGTCTATGGCCCACATGGCTTTCCTATGTCAGATCTGACTTTTGGTTCATTTAAAATGTGCTTCTAGTTACATTAGAACTTTGACTCTGTTTTACATGTCAACACAAAATATTTTTGCACCGTTTGAATACACACAGAATTTCCTGGAAATGCAACTACTCAATAAGTCTAGGAAAGATGATACTCTCTTTGCCATTTTGGAAAATCAGGACACTGAAGCCAGTTCCACTCATGGAATCTGAGTCAGTGATTAACACATGTCTATCAGCCACAGGCCCAGTAATTCCCTATGTGTGTATTTATTTAGCTCTTGTTTCAAAATGACAATGAAAAAAGTGTTTTCTATGGTCTTTTAAACAGCTGAACAGGAAAAAAAAAGTAAAAGTGTCAATAATATTCCAGAGTCCTGTCTTTCTGCTCTTAAATTATAAGTAATTGCAAATATCTGACAACTTCTTTATGACTTTTCATGTAGTTCTGAGTAAGTATTTACAAAAGCAAATATGTACTAATTATGTATTGCTTTATTTTTATTCCTCTTCTATTATAATTTAGGTCATCATACTGATTTTTAAACTATGCGTGTATGTATTAGCCATGTGATTTCATAATCACAATAGTGAATATTTCAAAATAATTGTTATGAAAAAGGAGACTTAAGTATTATAGCCAAGAAGATCCTAAAAAGACAGGACCACTAAATGTAACATGGCATTCTGGATGAGATCTTGGAATAGAAAAAGGACATTAGGTAAAAATTAAGGAAATTTGAATAAAGTATGGACTTCAGTTAATAAACATGTTGATTATGGTTCACTGGTTGTAACGAACATACAATAATGTAAGATATTTTCAATAGGGAACACTGAGTTGATGGTATACAGAATTCTCTTATCTTCTCAATTTCATGCAAATCTAAAACTGGTTCTAAAAAGTAAAGTCTACTAAAAAAAATTTTAAGGGAGGTAGGGAGGCTTAAGTGTGAGAGATAGACACCCTCACCTTGAACTTTGCCCATTGCAAAAGAGAGACAGTGCTAAGACTCACAACCATTATATATATGAAGAGTAAAATGTTTCTCAGTATGGTGAGAAAGATGGAATATGACAAGAATTAAACTAATATTTATGATTTCAAACCTATTCCATTAGCTTTCACTGAGTCTTATTTTTAGTATATGTTAGGATTTGGGGAATTTTGTTAAGTTTGTGAAATCTCACATTCTTAAATCAGTGGACTTCCATCAGGGCATCTTAGAAAGTCACATACGGGTTAGACCACATGGGCAAGATGATAAGAAATTCAGTGGTGTCCTTTTTTGTTCTTATCTATTCTTTTTACATTTTCAGTAAATGTCCCCAAAGCCCTAATTCAAGGAATATATGCAGGAAAGAGAAGAAAAGACCAAGACATCAAAGGAAACAAAGTAGATGTAACAGCCTCAGCTGAGAATAAAAGTCACAGTTACCTGTGGAGCCGCCTAAGGGTCATGAGTGTTCTAAAGACACTGCATGTAAGAATCCACTTCGTCCTCATAACCCTATAAAGCAGGTACGGTATCATTGGTATCCCCATTTTAAAGATAGGGAAACTGAGTCAAGCTGCTGAGGCTTGTTTTTAACTACTACCCTATGTGGCCTCTGTGGAAGAAACTAAAGATGACCCAGAGCATGGCTTCTACACCTGACCCAGCTACAGCAGGTTTCAGGTT